CCCCCCCTTCTTCTTTTTCTGGGTCTTTGGCTCTTAACGTAGCTTGTTAATTAAATCAAATTGTGTGATAGCTGAATCTGATGCTGGCTCTTTTGTTCTCCAGTGAGGGCTTGTACTGGTTCTTGTTAGATACGCGAGCTGCGTCGGTGGAGTTCAGCCCCTATCTTCCTCTCCTATCTGACGCTGAGCTTGATGGTGCAGGAGGAGGAGGAGGAGGAGGAGGAGGAGGTATCGCACATCTTTGGCAATAAGCTCATTGTTGTTGCTCAGATGAGTAATTAGCATTATTAAACCGTTAAGTCCTTGACACCTATCTGATAGAAGTGTTAGTCAAACACGTGGCTCCTGGATAACCAGTGTGTCAGAAAACAAGCATGTGTGTGTTTGCACACCTGTGTGCATGTTCAGCAAATGCACTCATGTCCAGGGATTACGCCTATGTTAATTAGTAAATGTGTATTTTTATGCCTATGTCGATTTGTCTCCTTTTAAATATTTTATTTGACTATATGGTTGTTGGCAAAGGTTAAATTCCAACCCAAAACATTTTAGCACATTTTAGTTTTTTTACTTCAGATTTCTGGGACTAGTCGTTATTAGTGTATTTATTTTATTCCTAGAGATGGTTAACTAAATGCAGGTGATGTGACATTGCACTAGATATTGTCCTGTGGTTTCAGTGAATTCCCTTCAAAAGTAATCATCAGCTCTGATGTCAGTTCCCCAGAATCAAAGAGCAGAAGCTTCTCTTTTTAGGGCCTTTTGGTGCTGACGTTCTCCAATCATTCAGGGAGAAAGGAACACAGACTAATTCATTATTCCCCAGATAGTGAGATTTCAGACATTTATAAATTATCACCATCTTGAGCCATTATTGGTGATTTTAGTGTCACATAACTGTCATTTTGCATCTCTGAGGCTCAGCGTTGTGGCATTTTAAGAGAAGAGGTGTACATTCTGTGGTACTGGCTTACTATTTGTGTCACCAAGGGAATTTTTGAGAGCATATATTAGTGCTTAGATTTTATACCTAGCATTCTGACACACTGTTGGACACATTGTACCTGAGTAAAGTTCTGCCTAAATATATGGCACAGGATGAAAATCTCCGTGGAACTGGCTGCAGGGAGACCTGATTGTAAATAATATAAACTGTATGAAGAATTAGCACTATACAAATAAAATGTAAAATACTAGAAGAAATGGACTATAATGTGCATTTAAGATGTAACCCATTACATGTTCTATATCACTGAAAGATAATATTCATTTTCAAATTTTTTGCCCACTTGTTTTGCTTTAAAATATTATCAAAGCTGTTAAAGAACCTGAGCACCCCGATGAAGCAGTGGGCAGTAAATCTAGAGCATAATATAGGAAGTGATTTCAAATACAGGGTTAATCTCTACAGGCAAGAATGCAGTATAGTAAGATGTGTAGTTTTATACAAGACATTTCATTGAAACTGGAATATTTTGCTGTTACTGGCATATCACTGTAACTGCTCCTCTCTGCACCAAATGCAACAGGTTTTTCTCATTCTCTGAAATATTGAAGTCACAAATAATAATCATGGATTAAAGATGAGTAAACAGTACAGATGAATTAAGTGTTGCAGTCTGCAAATGTCTGAATGAAGAGTTTCTCCTTAAAAACGTAACAACTTTCCCGAAATCACACCATCATATGGTGGTCAAAGATCACAAAGGTTAAACGTTCAGTGTGTGCAGATGGTCCATATGACGCTGAGCTTCTACTTTTATCCCTGTATAATGTTTCTGTGTGGACTTAACGCCTGAAAAAAGTGCAGTCACCACTGTAGATTCAGGTATGCATGTGTTTTCCATGGATCCTCTTTGATAGTAACCCACAGACATGAACCTGTCTGTGAATGTGCTGCTGTGTGCCACTTAACCTAATTTACTTGGAAGTAACCAAAATATCAGTCAATATTGGGCTCTTAGCGTCCACCGCCTCCCCCCTCCTCTCCCCTCTGTTCCCCAAAAATGGGCCACTAAAACACCCCTTTTTATCAGTGTGGTTAGCTGGCGCGCTGCAACCCCTAAAGCTCTTATATAAATAAGATTAGTGTCGCGTTTGAGCATCAGGGAATAAGAGGTGTAATATCTGATGGTTTTATATGGAGTATTATTGTTATCCCTTCTTAGTCGGGCTGATACTCCTCTCTCTCTCTCTCTCTCTTTCTCCCTAGTTTTCAGTTTGTCTCTCTCTCACATCACATTTGTTCTTTCGTCTGTTCATTCTCTGGGTCTCTCTCTCCTGATTCAGACAGTAGGAGCTAAGCTGGAATAAAGCATCAAGGATTCATGTTGTCCTGTTCTGTCTGGCATTACAGTGTCTTTCTCTCACTGACATGAAAGCCATTGTTGTGAATTTTGCCCTTTTTCACATCGTATTTCTGACTGACCCTCTGCTCTTTCTTTTTCTGCCCCACTCACGCACCTCACTATAATTTCACTGTACTGCCTCCTCTCCTCCTCCACCTGTTTAATCTTCTGCTGCTCTGTTTGTTATCAATTAGGAAGCCTCGCTCGCATCTAATCGAGGGGCCGTGTCCTCCTTCATAGCGGCTGTGTTAACCATCTCAGTCCTGGGAGCCGATTTAGGTTCTTTTGAGGCCATTTTGTTGTCAGCCATTTTCACATTTCCTCCTAACTCCTCACCACAGAGGGCAGGCACCACACTATAATTACCCAATCTGTTCCCATTCATACTCTTCAATTTCAGCACCTCTCTTTTACTCCCCCTCTCTCCCTGCCTCAATCCCTCTCCGCTTCCCACTTCTTTTGGAAGCTAGCACCCCCCTCTTTTTCCCTCTGGGGGTACAAAAGCTGGGTTACAATATGGGGGCATTAGGGCCGGGTGCAGGCTCAGCTGGGGGCTGGCTTTAGGCAGCTGAGGGTTATCCACGGCAAGCCCTGAGTCACAGCACTGATGTTCTGTGATGTTGCTGAGGCGGAAGACTTTCTTTAACATGCTGTACCCTTTGATGGGCCCTCAGGCCCTGCGACCCCGAGTAGCCCCTCGTTGGGTGCCAAGATGAGGGTTTGATTCACTCCGTTCAGTCAGTTTAAGAGGTCGAATGTTTAGTCTGTGTGTTACAACATATAGTTTCTCTTTTTATTTTATTCATCTATGTATATTTGTTCCTGCTTGACACTATCCTGGTTCCCAGGCATCGAGACACTGGGCAAAATTAATGTTGTTAAGGAAGTGAATGTTTATATTTTCTTCTGGGGAATTCAAATCAGTGGCCTTTCTGCACAAGACGTATGTCGGTACCTACATGCAACTCCTGATGGTCAACAATGAATTTAATGTAACACCTGAATTTTTTATTTCATAGTGATTCATCTCTTCATATACAGTATACACTTCCCTACCACAATTCACTCTTTCAATTTTAAATTAAACCAATTTAATAATAAAACCTGTATGATTTTATTTTTAACAAAAATTCACTTCTCTGCTCCACATTGACACTTTAGTATCAAATATACAGACATTGAACTTCATGTTGCAATTTACATAACCGTACTAACTATACTAGATACAGATGATGATAGAATACTATTTTAGGTTAATATAAAAATAACAAAAAACCCCATTATGCTGTAAGCCTGTTTACTGCCGTCACAAATTATACACTTTGGACATCGACCAAACTGACTGATGAGAAAGAACAAACTTCTCAAAGAGAAAACAAATGTATTATTCCTGGAATGACTTCAGCTGCCGGCAATTATAGAACTTCACTTCTGGTGCAGATCTTTTTGAGTTGTGTGTAGTTTCTTTTTTGCACTGCGCTGTCGGAGAACGGTGTTCGTGAACAGCACACACAAAAAAAAAAATCAAGCTGTTCTTAGTGGGCCCACTTCTCACTACTCTAGATACTCAAAACCTGCTTAAAAGTAGGCTGAGAGACATGAACTTCATCCCACATAGAGCTGTTGAATTTGATTAAGACTAAAGTTTGAGAATTCATTTTTATTTCTACTTCATTTGAACACGAGCTGACCTCAGCCTTAGCTTGTAGCCTAGAGCACTTTGAAACAGGAACAGCTGTCTGATGCAGTGTGCTTATTAATGAATGTTACAGCAGGATTGAGCTTTAAATCAGCCACCCTCAGTCATCATTTACCAGTATTATTATCTCTCCTTATGGCTGTGTGAGACTCAGAGAGATACAGAGGATACATGCTGTCTCCAATATTGTCACTGGCTGATACAGTAATATGCTCAGCTTGATATGTTTCTCTGTAAAGAGAGAGAATACCAACATGTCTGAAAGGTGAACAGTCCCTCGCCTCCTCTCCCACTTTTGAAATGTAACAGATAACATCCTTCCTAGTTCAAAACCGGAGCGACGAGGGTGTGTGTGTGGCAAGCAGACTGATTTCAAAGTTTTTTTTTGAGGAAGCGGCATTTCATCCAAACGGTGCTCTTTCTGATGTTGGGCTTCAAACGGCTCATTTTTTTCTGTCACTTCATCTGTTTCTTCCTTCTCCTGCCAAAACACCGCCTGCACCCCTCCAGGAAAAAAAAAAAAAAACCCCATTGTCATTGGAGCCTAGATTCATTTTAGATTAACGTTCATTTTTCTTTCTTTCTTGCATTACCTTCAAAGGACCTCCATTACGTTGCCAGCGATAAGGGTGAGGTGGTGCTAGCGGATGTGGCCAAGAGGAAAGCTGATGAAATCGAGGCCCAGGCCATCACAGGCAACGGTAAGAAAATAATCATAATGTCTACCCAAAAAAAGAAGCCAAATGTGACTCCTTACGTCTGAAATGGAGGGTGGAGGCTTGATAACCTCGGTACCTCGCCCACTCTAACACATTTTTCTGACATCTAACACCTGGTATTTTCTCAGGCTCTCAGCCTTGTTTGATAGCAGCACACAGAATTAAATCAGATCATGTTTGACAGAGTGATATTTATGCAAAACTCCACACAACCTGTTGCCTTTTATGAAGACAATATATCTATAGTAATGATTAAAATTGAGACAAGTTTGAACACCTGCTTGTAAAATTTAACAGGTGTAAAGAAGAAGTGACTTTAACCTTTATATAATCACAACCAGCACAAAGTCTATACTGTTTCAGAAATAAGTTCAAGATTGTTTTTGTTTTGGGATTTAGATGTTTCGAGATTAGTTTTTCACCCACAATTGACTAGAGAGTGTTATGATATAAAATGTTGTGCATTATCAGACTAATGAAGGGAAGGTTTTTGAAGAACCAGAAAGAGGAAAAGCAGAGAACAGCCCCTTTTCTTGTCGTTACGTAGCGGTGCTGCTGCCCTTTGACAAACACTCCCAAAAGCACATACCAGAGGGGATCAGGCCGAGTTGCTGATTACACACACACACACACACACACACACAGGCAATTCCTCACAAAGGCTTCAAGGGCCAATGGGTGGGCAGAAAACATTCAAATTTGTGAGGGAACTAGATGAACATGTCTGAGTCCTTCATTGGTGCTTAAAACACACCAGAAGGCTGTGTGTGTGTGTGTGTGTGTGTGTGTGTTTGTGTGTTCTCACAGACAATCAAATGAGGTGAGAGAGGTATTTAACTCCACTGTATAAGGTCAAACCCCTAAGGCCGAGTGTCTGTGTGTGTCTCGTTGAATGAAAATGAGCATTTGTGTAACTGTGAGGCCTGTTTGCGTGCAGTTTTTTTCCTAATGCAATGCCTAACACGCACACTGTTCCTCATAAGCCTCTTAATTATGTCCTCGATGATTTACGCCTATCACCTGCAGCGTGTCCTATCCTTGGACAGCAGCACTGCAGAGAAAGAGGGGAAGGGACAGAAGAGAAAGAAAAAGCAGGGATTGCAGCAGGAACAGAATGGGAGGAATTAAACAGCAGAGGCTGGAAGATAAGAAAAGGAGGGAAGGTTGGATAAAAGGAAAAGATAACGAAATAAACCCAGAACAAAAGAAGGAATGAAGAAGAAAGATGTCTAACTTCCTTAACATGCACATTCATCCAAATGAGCCATAACTATGCTACATGGTGGATGGTTTGACTGTGTTTAGCAACACACACACACACACACACACACACACAAGGCGGACATGGCCACTGTCAGTCATCAGTGATGATGTTTTAACTGATGCCTTTGTGTGTGTGCTGTACAGTTGTGTATCAGCGTTCAGCCAGAGCGTTTTAATGGAGCAGAAAAGCCCGTTCATAAATAATGAGTAGCTCGTGTCAAGCAGAGGGCTCCAGTGAACAGGTGTTTCACCACACACACACACACACACACACACACAGCCCCTGGCATGGTTGTCACACAGGAACAGCTCCGGTTCCATCATAAATATCTCATAAACTCACCAAAGGCCAGAAAATCTGCTTTACTAATCTGACATTAAGTTGAGGTGATTTTGGTTCAGGCAACATTTATTTTTAATAAGATAAATATTGTCTAAAAACTGAAAAATAATGACTACACTTGTTAAAAAATATCCAGAGGCTAATAAAACATTATTCTTTAAAGATGCACAAACAAATTATTTGTTCTCTGATAAACTTTGATCTCTGTTGTGTGTTTATACAACGAATGTGTCAGGATTTCTCGAGAGAATTCGTTCCTAACCTGTAGTCACACTTTGCAAATGAATCTTTCTGATACCTGCTGTTAAAATACAAGCAGCATCTCCAGGTATGTTTGGTTGTTGCATTATCACATTGTGCATTGTGGCAAATGTATTAATCGCTCTGTAGCATGCAACCATCTTTGCAAGAGGTAGTCCCTGTTTGTTTAAGCACAGGCTTTGTCCTCACTTACGTGCTTTTCAAACTGAAGTTCCCACGGTGCAGTTTGGCCTGAACTGACAAATTTTCTGTTTGAACACACACACAAGAGACTGAAATTTGTTTGCACTCAGTCACACACTACAGATCAAATTCAGAATGGCCCTTGGAGACGTGCGTATTTGAGTAAATGTATGTTCATAAATGAGCAGTTGGGTGTGACTTGCGGCCTGGGAAGTAGGTTACACTAAACCTTGTGTGAACCGACTGTTTGTAGTGATCAGCTGTTAAACAGTAATTTGAAGTCAGCCTCGTTTGCTCATGTAAAGAAAGCTCAGAGATCCCGCACATCCGACTGACTTGTACTAGATCAGCATTCTGTCAGGAAGGCAAACACATAAATTTACTGGCTATGTACACACCGAAACAGAACTTAACCAGATTGTTCATTTTATCCTCTTGTTAATTAGATGTACTGCTGGATTTGCCAGCAGCTACAGGAGCTCAGCAGCAGACACGCTCATTTAAAGAGTGAATTGATAACCAGCTAGTGACAGTATTATTGATACTTGATTGATCTTGCTGATCCCTCAGTGACACTGCCACCCGGTAGCCGTGTTATTTCTCACTCACCACACATTAAGACTATGACACTTACCCTACAGTAATTCTTCTAAATCTGCACTTGGTTTTCATCTGAGTGTTTAAAATTACCAAACCAGCTCCAGTAACAGCCGCTGATCTAGGCCATCGCACCATGGATTGTTTCACGCCACTTCAAAAAATTGGTTAAAAAAAAAAAAAAAGAAGAGAGATGATCTGCATTTGACAAATGAAACACTGGGAAGAAGAAGCCCTCTCATGCTTTTGTCTGGATGATTCTTCACTTGTTTTCTAAAAAATGAAGACTCTGTACCAAATCGAATGGTCCTTAAGGTGGATGTCTTGTACAGCACACCAGCATCATTCCTGATCTTGGAATCAGATTGGACAGAGACACCATATCCATATTTATGTTTGCCCACTGTAAACCCTGATGATCAGAGATTCTGCCTTTGCTTGTACATAAACACAATAGAGAACACACATTTCAGCTTAGAAGTGGTCCCTTTTATAATGGCATTGGAAATCGCTTGTAGCTGTCTGGCTGACAAGTGTGTTGATTTGGATAGATACGACACTGTGCGAGGCAGAGTAGCGAACAAGTGCGAGGGAAGGCCTCTTTCTCTTCCTCTATCTCTTTTTCTTTTGAGAAGCCAAGTTGGTTGCCTGATTGTTCTGTCTCCCCCTCAGAAAAGCTGATGTGACTGCAGGGCCTTTCATTGGGCAAAGAGACAAGAGCTTTACCTGAAGATCCACTTCTCCACCTCCTCTCTCTCCTTGGTCGTTATGTTGAAAGCCTGTTAGCTCCGGTGTGTGTTGAAGGAAAGCAGCGTTTGTTTTCTGTCCCCCTCTCAGCTCTGTCGGTCGCTCTGCTCACACATCCTCTATTACTGTTTAATCAATTCACAAACTTCACTGAAATAACATGTTTATAACAACATTATTGTGGCGTGGTGTCCAAATTAGCATAAATCTACAGATATAGATGCATATGGAAGTTGATACAAACCATATAGAACTGAGAAGTTGGTCAGGAGACCTAAACAGCTGCCTGTTGTGTTTGTGTTTTTGTGTTTTAGAAGATCTTCTGAGAAGCAGAAACGGTGTGTGTGGTTCCAGCCTCGGGGACAGACAGACCGAGAGAAACCAAAGTGCAACAGGACCCTCACATTCAGGCGCTTTCCCCACACCGTAAGTTACATGGACAGCCACTTGTGAGCAGCAGAAACAAGTTGTGACCGTGGCCCCTTTAAAGTTGATATAACAAACATTTGCTTATTTACACATCCAACATTATCATCCATGTGTAGTCGTGCTTCTACTTGGCAAATGTACAGTAAGGCCGATATTCCCTCTCTCTTATCTCTGTTTTTGGGAAAACCTTTGGCTGTTTAGATGCTAACTCTGCTGTGTTCATCAGCTGTGTGTGTCTGTCACTGGGCCCAGGTAGTGTACAGTGGGTTCTTAGTGCCTTTTCAGTCAAAACAGCTGCTTGGTGTAGATGAAAATGACACTGAGACCAGTGAGAGTAAAGGAAACGGTTAAGTTGAAGCAAGACAGCTAAACAATGAGCCGAAACTCTCACTAAGCTCACTCTCACCCATCCCCTCAGTAGAGCTGAGGGGATGGGTGATAATTCCCTTTACAGTGCCATACAATATATTCACATTGTCATTTAATGCATTTTAATTATTAAAATAGCTGTTGTAGCTGCTTTAAATTGAAAACATATTTAGTTGACCTCAGTATAATCAAAGCGTGGAGGATTCAGTTTTGTCCACTCCCACAGTGATTTACCATTATTTGAATGATCTGTGACCAAATGACCCAGCTGCAGCCTAAAAACCTCAGTGACATTTCAGACGTCAAAGCCACATCAGTTCCAGGTGTTAGGCTTCCACAGGTACCGATGCCGACCACGCAGCCACATTTAAAACGCCACCAGAGTCCATCACGGTGCAGTCTTCATAGTGCAGCCCACGCTCACTGTTTCAGGTTGATTGTTTAATACGCTTGTCTACATGAATGATGTGTTGAAACAGTGTGACGAAAGCATCCCTCTCTTTGTCCCTGCCTGCATCTCACACACACAAACAAATACAAATATAGCCATCCATGTCTCAGTTATTGTGAGATGGGGGGTGACAGAGGGGCATTTCTTGTCAAAGCCCAACTACCATACTGGAGTATTTATATGGGATTTGTGTGCATTAGATAAAAAGGCGCTCTTGTTCTTTTCATCCTCATAGGCTTTTTATGGCTCTTGACTGTAACTCTGATGACTCTCTGCACCCCTCCACTCTGCGTTTCTCTAAGCTCCCTCCATCCATCCCAAATCCCTTCCTATCGGCCAATTTAAACAAGCTGGGTCCAGAGGCGGGGGGAGAGACGGAGAGAGATGCTCTGTCCTAAGCTCTTTTTAAAAACAGTAAAATGAATGAGCAGAGAAAAAAAAGTGGTAAAGAGGGTTAGGGCGATTTGGCAGCCAAAAGCCTGGTCGCACTACCCAGGTCCTCCCCTGCACTGCTGACAGAGGCTAAGAAAGCAGATCCCCAAACCTCCCCAAAGATAATGGCCACAGAGAGGAAGAGACAAAAGCCTCCGCCATCTTTTCATTGCACAGTTTCCCCCCTTCCTTTAGAACAATTTTTATATTGAACCCCCCTCCCCTTTGTAATCTGGTCTCCGATGAAGTTTCATTGTTTCTCATGTGAAGCCAGTGACAGCTTAGCCGAGATGGAGTAGGGGAGGCATTATAGCGCGGGCGTTCTCCTGTTTGGCTCGCTGAGAAAAGAGCAGAGAAACAGAGGCAGGCAGGCACAATGGCAGTTTGGGGGCTCCGCGCTGATTCCCGCATTCCCCAAATCCAACTCTATGCACAGAGAAGTGACAGAGAACGAGACAGGAATCTGGGAAGCGTCCCAGCGTTCCTCTGCTGTTGGCCTCTCTCACTTGTCACATACTCTTCTCTCAGTCGAGTGAGGAGAATTGAGGCTATTTTTGCTTAGCGGAGGCCAGAGTTAATGTGGGGCTAGTGGAGAGCGTCGGGGAGCCACGTGTTTACATTTCACAATGTAATTTTCAGTTTTATTGCATTTATTTGATGATCATGTCCAGAATCTGCAAGTGGGATAGAGTTCAGTTTGTTGTTGCAGATGCTGGTGACAGTTGATCCATCCAAAGACTGGAGCACAGAGGTTGCACTTCTGTAATGATTTGCCAAAGTTAGGAGGACTGATCTATAAAAAGGAAAATCTCTCTGCTGTGTTATGAAGCTGGGAATCTTTAGTCAGTTTGTCAAGAAATTGGCTTCACACCACCTATAATAACTTGATGAGTATTGATTTGTAGTGTGAGACTATGGCTGGAGATTGTTTACATTTTACAGGAATATGATGTTGGTAATTAGCATATCTGGTAAGTTGCTAACATGTTGATACTGAATTTAGAGTGTGAGTAAAATGTTCCGCCAAACTATCTGATCTTACTATGCATTAATCCACTTGCACCATAAACCTTTTACGGTGTCTTAGGTTCTGACTGCACTTGGCTACGGCTAAGGAAAGATCTTGGTTTAACAGAAACAGAAGACGGTGATATGTACGTTTAACCAAAGTGTTTTTGTTGCCTAAACCACACAAGGGTCATTGGATCTGTTTTGTATGTCCATCATCTACCCGGCAATGTCCCAGAAACTCCAGTCAGCACTACCTGATTATGAAGACAGTTGACCAGGTTGGTTGATTGTACTGATGCGAAGAGGCAATAGTTCAGCCTGCGATCACTATAATGTGTAATGGACAATTGATTCTACATATCCATGGTGTAAATACATGCATGTGTAAATCAGTGAGAGAAGACAAACATAAGAATTATCCACTGAAAGTAACCCCAGTATATCAAAGAGCAGTGTGTGTGTTCGTAGGTCTGACCAACTGGTTTAGAGTACCTCATCATTTCTCATAAAGGTACAACTGAATTGAATGGGAAAGCAAAACGCCACAAGCTGTTGATGATACATACAAGTTTAGAAGTGTTCATGTGTTCAAAATGCATCTGATGCTGTTCGGTGCTCTTTTTGTTTTCCAGTATTGATGGAAGAGCCAATCAGAGGAGATCACGAGCAGAGAACAGCCATGTGACCGTGAGCCCAGATGTGTTCAGTGCACTGAGACAAACAGGTGTGTGTGTGTCTCATATTTTAAATGAAATTCTAAATCAATCCACTCTGCTCCGCCCAGCGCTCCCTCTCCCTGCTCCACCACGCTCCGCCCAGCTCTTCACATATTTGTCACTATGAAATCACAAGAAATGACAATGCAATCAAACTTACTGATCAAGCAGAAATAGTTGAAAATCTCTGATTGTTAAAACCTTGTAGAAGCTAATATCTCTGACCTGCTGCCAGTGCTGTTCGGTGAGTCTGGCTCACAGTACCTCTCCACTTTGAGACAAGTTATGGACCAGATTTCTACAACAAAGATACTAGAAAAAAAGTTGCATGCTGTGGCTTTAAGCATCTGCGTCACTGTGTTTGTGCTAGGAGAGTTTTCTAATACTGCAGCTTAAACTTTGGAGGTTAAGAAAAAGCACTTTTAGCCATCACACTTTCCCTTACTGCAGCTAATTATGTTTTTCAAGTCAAAAGGCAAAAACATAATGTCCTAGTGTAGAAAAGCTTCAGCCGCCACCACTAGTAGCTTCAACATGTTTGATCTCGGGGCCACAATTTATGCCCTACAGCAGTCGGCCTGTTGTATTCTCAGTGTAGCCTGAGCGCCCTGCTGCTATATCTCAGTAATGGAGAAACACCCAGTAAGAAAACGTCACTTCTCCTTCTTCACTTCCTGCTCTCTTCATTTTAATAATGCCATTTCTTCAGTGATTAGCAATTTTCCCACTGTTGTTTGATAATCTGGACTGTAGGCTATTTGTATCAGCGTTTTAAATATCTGTATAAGGCACGTCAGGGTTTTAATGTCAATCATGGAGATGGATCGCCATGAGTGACAACAGTTAATGTTCGTTCAAACCCAGAAAAGGTGACGTGTCCGACCCACTGAGTGAGCATGTAACCTGTTCAGGCGTTCAGCTCCGTGTGTGTTGATGTGCTTCAGGGCTGTCGTGTGAGATTATGCATGAATAATGTTGGGTCGCTGCAATTGTTTCAAGGGTCACGGCTGGTTTACAGGAACATCTTCTGTCATTTCATTTTGTTCTGCAGGAGGCGGTGAAGGTGACAGAGACGCTGTGAATGTAAGTTGATTGAAAATTGATTTTTAATTTCATTAGTTTACTTTGAGTCCCTCTGATTAGCATTCACATTAGCATTTCATAGACGGTTTATAACACACTATGGTGTAGTTACAAGCACATATAAAGACATTGTGAAGTGGCTATTGATGGACAGTATTTGTCATCAGGGCCTGTTTTACACTCTGTGCCATTTTATTAGGTACACCTGTAATGCAGTCCAATACAACTGCTTTTAGGATGCCTCTAACAGTTTGGGACACTGCCAAGGTGCAACACAGGTGCTAATTCAGATATGTTTTAGCACTGAAGTCATAGTTAGTGATAGTGTGTCTACATTGTGCATTTATAATCAAACAGCACCATCACTGCAAAACATGTTGCTGACGAACACAGTCACGTTTTACACCTATTTAGTGCTAAATTCTAGTGAGCTATGAACCTTTTATTCAGCGGGGGAGTTAAAGTAAAATGTTACCAATTTTTATTTTTCTTAAGGTTAACAAATCTTAGCATTTTTCTTATTGTTGTATATTTTTTAGTAAGTAAACCTGAACTTCCCACAAGCCCTGATGATTTCACACAAATCAATAAGTATATGTTTATATGTTGTTTGTATTAAAAGGTCACAGGTGCTAACTGGTGAAGATTTGGTTCTTTTTTTTAATCATATATGATGATAAATGAAATATTTTTGGTACTGAGCTTTGCTTATATAGTAACACCAGGACCTTAGTACTGGGAGGTGATGGGTGTTTTCACTACTTGTTGATGCTTTAGACACTAAATGAATAATTGGTTAATCAAAAAATCTGTTAGTATCAGCTGCTGTAATTAACTATCCTCAACCTCATACTAATTTTTAATTTAATTAGACTGATCGGTAAGTTATCATTTTGTCTTTGAGGAGAAAGAGTTTTCCTGTGCTGGTCAATGCAGCTTTAAGGTGTGAATGGTCCAGACTTTATAGAAGGGAAGTAATCAGTACAGTACAGATTGAGATCATTATCAAGTGGTGAATATAAAGACTCTGAGGTCACCTACAGATAAACCTATCTGTAAACCAACAATATCTATATTTATATGTTCCATCTTCTAAAACATAACCTTTCTGTTTATCCTCTTTCAGGAAGAAGATGACCCTGGGATGCTTCATGTGGTTTATTTAGGACTGGTTTGAAAATGCATAACATCACTAACGGGCACAGTTTACTGGCCTACGCACAGAAGACTGTATGAATATCTAAGAACAGTAGAATAATACGAGTGTTATACATGACTTAGTTTTGGATCGTCTGTGTTTAGAGATCTGAGGCTTTTCTTTTTTCAGACCTGTCATAGACATTAGTGAATTTTCAGCCAAGTCACAAATGCTGGACAGCTCTATGGATGTGAATTCAGGTTATTTCAGGTCTTATTGAAGTCTAAACCAAATTAACCTGAACAGAAAACAGTTACACTGAGTTCTTCCTTTTAAAAAGCATGACAGGAAATGTTTTAAACCATGCCATTAATCAGCCTGAAATAATAAATTCTCCTATTATACTTCCATCACTACTGATATTAAAATGTTCCAGGCTTCCTCTGTGTGTGATTGTGCCGTGTAGATGTGTGTGCTGGCCGAGATTACAGGCCACAGTTTTATTCATGAATAGAAGCCAGCCAGCGACTTTAAAGCATCGCGCGGAGCCCCTTTCCTGAACAGCAGCCATAGCCGTGTCAGAGCTGTCGACGCGCTGCGCTCACCGACTAATCTGACAGCACCGCGCGAGCCCTAATCCCTCACTGTATCGTAATCTATTTACTTTGCATTCTAAGAGGATTTCCACCAAAAAAAATATACAAGAAGCAATGTTGGAAATGGACAGAAGATCAGCGAGGATGCTTTTCTGTTTCCTTTTTTTGTTTTGTTTTGTTAGCTTAAAAAAAAAAAGAACCACCATTGTATGTTGTTTGGGGAGTCAATCCCCTGCTAGAGCGATGGGTGAAAGGAATTACATGTCTGACTGATACTAATACTTCTCTTATGTAAACATCAAAATGTTATATTTCCCTTCTGATGATACAGTCACACTGCAGAGGCTGCTGGAGATAAGTGGTGTCTGTCGTTGCCTTTAGTGCATCTCTTGACACGTTCATAATTTACAAACCAAGGCTGCATTATTTCCTGATTGTTTGACTTGACAGCCTGAATAAAGGCTCCAAAATTGCTTAACAGGCAAGCAGGAGCTCCTCCCCTCTCTCTGACGGCCCAAACAGTAGCCTTTTCTAACAAGCAAACAGTGAAATCTCCCCTTCCATAATACAGAAAACAAAGTACAAGCCCAAATGCTCTCCTCAGTTACCCTTTAAGCAATTATGTCAGCTTTGTGAAATCATACATAGTTATGCTTCATTTAAAACGTGGCCAGCAGCTTTATTGTAAAACACTGCCTGACGCTCATCTGTGCCATCTGAGATGACTCAGAGATAGCCTTATTAGTGGTATTAACATACTGTGCTGGAGCTGTGAAACGGCCTTGTTAACAGCCTCCAGCACTTATTATCCAGGTTCTCTGATTTTCCTTCTCTCCCCTTTGTGCAGCAGCTGCACGGTGTTTCTGCACAGGCTTGATCACATCTAATGACGACTCCGATTGGCCCGGTACCGTTTCCCCACAGGGGGAGATTGTGTGTTTTATAGCTTTGTTTTGCCGCTCTTCACAAGTAAAATCACTCAAACAATATAGACAAATATGTCAGGACCATTAAATGGAGACAGACGTGCAACTGAGGGACAATTTCCCAGTAGTAAAGTTTATCAGCTCGGTGAACGAGTTGTACTTTTCATAAGGATCCCGCTACAATTGGTTCATCAACACAAGTACTTTAATTATAATGCAGCGTATCTGTACTGAATATCTGTGTTTAGCCTCTAAGACAAAAATCATCATGTTTTGATACACGATAATTAAACTGACCTGCTTTTGCCTCCAGTGAAGGTCAGACTGAAACATGAGAACTCAGCTGAAGTTAAGACTCGTGTTATAGACCTGTCAGCCTCTGGTCAGGTATCCGGAACTTTATCTTAAGTGTGCTACTTAAAATTTATAGAATGGTTTATAATGTGTTTGCAAGCATTTGATCCGTTGACTAAAACAACTATGTCCTTATGAAGCTACTTTTCATCAGTATTTTACTGTGTTGCCTTTCATTACATGTTTATAGAGCAGCCTCCTTGTACTTACTGTAGCTTTTACAAAAATCCTCAAAACGTGTTAGAAATTCTGTTTTGTGGAATTTTATGAGTCTTAACAAGAAGTTAGTCCAGTTGACCCCAAAAATAAGACACAACCATGTCTTTAAATTATTTTGGCAAACAAAAGATGTTTGTTTCTGTGTAGTTTATTTAGCATATTATAAAACAATGCAATATGTCCTTATTTTATTTTATTAACAGTGTTTTACAGTCATGTCTGTGTTTTGTCAGCTTCATCAAATGAGCAGGACCAGTTAAGATAAGACTTTTCTCAACTTCTCCACGTTGGGTTTTAATAACCAATTGTTATTTTAACATAAATGTTTTAGTGGGGTCTGAGGGCAGCACGGTGGTGCAGTGGTTAGCGCTGTTGCCTCACAGCATGAAGGTTCCGGGTTCGGGGCCTTTCTGTGCGGAGTCTCCATGTTCTCCCTGTGCCTGTGTGGGTTCTCTCCGGGTGCTCCGGCTTCCTCCCACAGTCCAAAGACATGCAGCTTAGATTGACTGATGACTCTAAATATGGACTATTGTGGACAATTTAAATATATATCCCAATTTGGGTTGTGTCAGAAAGGGCATCCGGTGTAAAACACTTGCCAAATGTATACATGAGAACGACTGATTCCCTGTGGCGCCCCCTAATGGGAACAAGCAGCATTAGTAGTAGTAGATTTTAGTGGCGTCTGTGGAACTCCCGACAAGAAGTAAAGTCACTATCAATGAAATGTAATGGTCCATCTTCTGATACAAATTTTTGCAGATTAATTTATGTTTCGGGGGGAAGTGTTATTTTCTCATAAAATGGCTGCTGTGATGTCTCTGCATGTTTTAAAGGTTAAAGGTCAGGAGAAGGATGTAGCTTAAGCAACCACACAGCATTTTCTTTTAATGTTAACTTCAGCAGACGGGCGTCGTCGATGACCCCCGGCTTCGTACTTAGAGGAAAATTTGTCAAAGAAGAACAAACTAAACAAAAAGAGCAATGTGGCCAACACCTCAGACAGCAATCTGTTCACACACGGAGACAAAGTCGTCCGTGGGAAACGCTAAAGCCTGCAGGCCAACAAGCTTCCATTAAGCTTTCTCAGGTCTGGAGGGCTGACAGGAAAAGACAAGTTGTGGCCTGTACTAAGCTTCTACTTTGCATCTTTTTCACATGAAATAATTCAAGCTTTCTTCAAATACCTTTCTGCACCTCTCTACTCTCACCCTGATGAAACTGATTTAAGGAAGGAAATGGGGAAGTGAGAATCGGGAAGACGAGAAAGCGAGCAGTGATCCCAGTCAGACGTGAAGGGACTGGTTCTGTCCAGAAAAACAGAGCGAGGAAAAGTCTGCACTGAGCTGCCTTCACCGGTCCAGTCTTGTCTGAGTTCCTATCAGCTATGTCAAAGAAGGAAGTGTTTGACTTCAATCTGCTAATATACTGTTGAAGAACGCGGGTCTTTATCCCACTGATCACATCATTTAGAACTGAGAATTGGTGCCAAAACCATCAACATCTCAGGCAGATGGCTCCTTTTAGTGTGCATGTTTACTCTTTAGTGTGTGATGCTAGTGATTAGCATGAACCCAAATATGGCTGTAGGGATGGCAGTGTCGGTCTGTTGGCCCAGAACTTTTTGAAATATCTTAACTATTGTAAGGATTCTGTACCAACATTCATGGTCCCATCAGGTTAAACAGTAATACCCTTAACTTTTCACCTTGTGCTATTAATAGGTCAAAAGGTTTAATTTGTTCATTTTTGACCAAAATGATTCCATAATTTTCAACTGCAGTTTGTGTTTAGTGCTAGTTAACAAATGTTTGCATGCTAACACACCAAAGTAAGATGGTGAACAGGGTAAAGACCGTCATGTTTAGTTAAAAATTCAGCTGCACAGCTGCAAAAAGTTCTTCCCTTTGTGGAAAATGCTAATCAGTTACAATCGTATCGTATACTAGTACTAGCACACCCAGTGACCAGAGCCATCTACTTGACATGCACAGAGGTGACCAAACTGCCAAGCACACAGGCCACCGATGGGCCAAATTCTCCAGGAGTCGGAAAATGCCTGTGACTCCACTTGAAAGTGTGAGTTTGCCTTCAGATGAAAATGGAAGAATGAAGCTCAGTCAGTAAAGCAGACCCATGAAGAATTTCAAGAAAGGTCCCGGTGCCTTGTCGTATGAGCGACTGAGCAGATTTGGCTCCACCAGCTGGACTGTGTTGGCCACCTGGACTCATAGGAACCAGTGGTGCTTTTTTCCTTTGAGTTTGGAGAACAGATTCAAGAGGTTGTTGGTGGTTATGACAAAGCAGAAAAACTGAAGACAGCACCCAGGACTACACCAGTGTACAGTTGACCCCAGATTAACCTCCCGGGCAAATATAACCCTTGTCTGCATCACCTCTGGACGATGAACACACTGGGACGTCAAGGCCTGGCAAAAGCCAGTGAAAGACGAGCGCAAGATGTTTTCCCTCCTGTCCTGCATGGAAATAGAAGACAGGACTGCTATCAGTGCATCTCCCGGTTCTTTGAATCTCCTTTTCTCACTTAGAGGCCCATAAGGTCTCACAAACCAGGTACTGGAGGATCAGTCAAGTTTGTCTTTATCTTTCTGCCTGTCTCTCTTTCCTAGATACACATCAGAACCACTCATGCAAAAACAGTCCTGCATGGTTCCAGTTCATTTCCTGGACAAATGTGAACAAAATGTCAACAGTTTCCAGTCCACCCTCATTCAGACACCTTCACCAGAGCAGGCGAGAGGCCAAAAGGTTAAAAGTGGTGACACGGCGCAGTCGATGGTCCCATTGAAGACCCTGAGTTCAGGTGAAAACAATGAACACACTCTTGCACAAGTGTTAAAGTGATGAACTGGTTCCATAGCATCCTTTTTTTTTTTTAAATTAAAAATACAGCAGTCAGATGTACGGAGAGTTCCTTAAATGCAGCTGCAGGTAAACAACTGAAAAAGTCTTAGCAAATTTTGTATTTATCTAACTTTTAAACATTGGCTCATAATTTTAAGGCTTTAATTTTCCTAGTCGACATTTTAGAAGCTTTTCCACCCTTATAATAACCGAAACCTAAGTAAGAGAGCTAATTAGTTTTTGGTTACAGAATTGTAAAATTAAAAATTTTTCGCTACTCACAGCTCTACAGCGATCACAAAAATGTGTTTAAACAAAGATAATCTGATTAAATGATATCCTCATCTTAATCTCAGATGAACCTTTTTAAGGTAAAGCTGATGTTTTTTCTTGCTCCTCTGTTGTGAAGCCAAACCTCTCACTGCCGTTGACTTGACTGTGGAAGAAGGGATCATTTACAGACTGGAGCAGTGAGATAGTTGTTGGTTTTTAATGCTTTGTCACTTTAGTTTGACCTCTGGTGTAGAGACAAGTTCCTAAAAGTAAACGAAGCTGCACTGGTTTTACAGTAAACTGTTAAAAGTCAGTGTTAACCTGTCAAACTGTCTGTGCATTAGTTTAGTATCATTCCTTTGGCATCGAAAAGAAAACGCTACATTTAATGTTTTCAGATTTAAGATTTGCCATGTTCTCCTTTATTCTAAGGTGGATTCCAGCTTTTAATTAACATTTAGAGACATATTTCATCTCCACCATACATTTGGGGGTCTGGTGGAATATGTTTTGTTTCTAATGAGACTGAATTACTTAAAATTAAACAGTTAACAGCTGCAGAATCAACAAGTTGGAGTAAAGCAGGGACGTTTTTCTTAGTGCAGGTTTGCTGACAAGTGGACTCGGCGAAACAAAACGGAATGCAATGATTTGTATGTGGAAAAGAAGTTCAATCCATTATCTGAATGAGCTTTGCCACGTAGTTCACCAACATGTAAAATCAGAATAAGACGTGAATTTTTCAGCTGTAGTTGGTAACACGCCCATAAAATGTCCTAAATGAATTCGAAATGTTAGATTTCGTCCCATTTTAATCACAATAATGCGTCATTCTACCGTTTCCCTTGCGTTTGGTGTGTGTGTGGCTCAGCCAACGCTCTCATTTGAGTTCACTAACCCTGTTTTCAAGACCAAACAGTATTTTACTGCCATTAACGTGGAGGCCAGATCGGTCTCTGCCAGACCTGTGACCCCGAACTCACACGAATGGTCCCAAATGTTTATTTGATGCAAATCTGAACAAATCCGCCGCTGTTGCTGGTCAGTCGCTGCGCCGTTTACGCGTCTTGGCGCAAACACGTTTCCTCTTTGCAGATATTTATTCAACTGCTGTGCGCGTCTTTTACATAGAGAGACCAGGCGCGGCTGGAACACGCTCTGCGCAGACGTATTGATGAAGCTGATGATCTGATCGGGTTGATCGGAGGGATCAGGGTGCGGGGACAAGGCTTCAGAATATGTTTGGCCTGTGGCAGGTTGTATGAATGATGCTTTAAGTGTGAAGAGGTGAAACTACAACAGGTCACTACTAAAATAAACCGTTTGCTGGAGCACTGTGTTCTTCACACGGTACCGACCATCCCGTCTCCCCGAGTGGAGCGGTTCGCCTCCGTTTGGGCCTCAAACCGAGATGGTAGCGTTTGCATCACGAGCTGAGAGTATTTTTAAGCAAACGGTGATTTTCACACTATTTAATCTGAATGTCTTAGATCCGTGAAGATAAACAGTCAGAGCACGTTTTAACTCCTTCCCTATGAATCATCAGTTCTTTTGACCTCCTGTTGTAACTGATGAGTCGGTTGGCAGAAATGAAAATCTGGATACGTGACCAAATAAGCACAGTGTAGAGTAGCTGTCCCACGTTTCTGACATTGGTTTTAGTTGGAAATCAGCGGAGCAGCCTTTCATAAGGCCTTTGGTCGCGGCCCTGACCAGAGCAGCTGTAATGGAACAACTCTCAAACCCCGACTCGGTTCATTTTCTGCGCTATTTTATTATCTTACCCGATATTATTTGAAAAACCTTGCATTGTCTTAATTAAACGAACAAGCAGAGAAGGGCGTCCAACGTGCTCTTCTGGGGTGGATTTATTTTTGATTATTTTAACACAAGGACGGGGTTTTTATTGGGGCACTTAATTTACATGAAATCAGTTTTATTGCCTCGTCTGCTGTCGGTGCAACCTTCACTGCTACAAAACATGCTCGTCCAAAACAACCTTGCCAGAGCAATGATGCGATATAATGCGTTTCTGCCTGTGAGCAATAACACACACACACACACACACACACACACACACACACACTTACATGTGACCCCCTAACCTGGCCCCACCTGCGTAATTACCGCATCAGAGGCAGTGAAATTCCTGCAGGTTATTTTGGAGAAACCAACTGAGGGCACAGGAGTAATTATCACGCCATTACAGCGCCGCTTTCAATTAGGCCTCGATCAAATGTCTCCCGGCTCAATATTTAGGGCTTTTTAAGGCCGCAGTTTGAAAAGACACTTTGTCACCCTGAAGCAAGTCGAGATGGTAGCGTTTTAATTTAAGACAAAAAGGATTAAAACAGATTGCTCTCTAAATGGAAACGCATTCGCAGCTTGTATTAATTATGGATTCATTTGCATTTAGCCCCGTTATAATTAGGGAAAATAAATAAATCGACAAGCTTTTAAAGTAGGACTAGTTGAAATGAAAGAAAGCGGTACTGGTGAGTTTGTCCAAAGGGGAACTGGGCTCCGTGTTGGTCCCCACCCAGACAGACTCCACCGGGGAAAGGCAGCGTGTCTTATCGGATCTTTATTGGATGAACATGTATGTGAGGGTGGTTGCCTTAAAGATACATTCAACAATCTCACTGTCATTTTGGAACTAGAAATCCATACCCCCCCTCCAAAAATAAAAATGCTTTGACTCCAATATCAAGCCAAGTGCTGCGGTTAAACATGTCCAGTTTCACAACAATGCCCAGGAGGAGGTCTGGCCTGTTGTGATATTGTAGAATTTTTCAAATTGCCAAAACATGTTTTCAGGAGTAAAACAATGTAAAAGCTGAAGGTTATGGCCAATTTGTTCTTTGGACTGTTTGGAAAGATTTACATACAGGATTCTTCTTTTTACCTCCCAAAGTCGGAATAAACTATTTCAAATGGGGGGAAACCAACTAAACATGGTCACTGGAACTGACCCAGATACTTATTTACATATTTCAGCTCCTCAACGCAGCTGACTAAAAATCTCTGTCATCCTAAAATAACAAATTTCAGAAATAAAAACTATACAGGATTCGATTGGGCTGGAGGTCAGAGGGCACTGCCGGCAGTTCCTGTCGGTGCACCAGAGGGGACGTTATTCCTCCTATCCAGAGAGCTGGTGTCGCAGCAGTTTGGCTGAAATAACTTCTTGTCGTTGATTCAAAAACTGTTTGGTTTTGTTTAGCTCATCCATGACGGGGCATCTTAAACCCATCACTCATCATCATCATCACCAGGAAATGGCTCCTGCTGCTTTCTCTTCACAGGTACATTTTCTTCTTCTTCTTCTTTATTTTTAAATTTTAAAAAGACAGGGAGGATAAACAAGGTCCAGGTACGGAGCATCCCTGCTGCTATCTTCTTACAGTTCATAAACAGTTTTTAAAAACAGGCAGTATGCTAATCTGGAAAACGGAGGGAGCAGAGGAGCAGGAAGGGAAGGAAAAAGAAAGCTTGATCACAAGACTTGGAACCTCCAGGAGGCCTGGTCTTTGTAGTCCAAGCAGTCCGTGGTGTTAAAGTTGAGCTTCCATGAAGAGGCTGCAGTCTGCTCTTTGTAATCCAGGCAGTCGGAGGAGTTGAAGGCCAGGCCCGAGCCGCCGTAGGCCTGGTGGTGGTGGTGGTGATGGTGGCCTGATGACTGGCTGATGTGGTGGTGAGGATGGCCTGACATGGAGGAGGCCGTCATGGGGCTGAGCTGGTGGTGGTGGGAGTGCATGGGTGCCAGGTAGGAGCTGCAGTCCACGCCGCTGAAGTAGGAACTGGAGGGGGTGGGGTAGCCCTGACCATAGCCTGGTGTCTGGTTGTAGGACATGGGGTAGGAGGTGGCGGCGGCGGCGGAGCCCGACATCGAACGCTGCATGCAGGAGGCATTAGATGGCGGTCCAGGCTCAGGGAGTGGCGCCACAGCGGGAGCAGGAGCGTTTCCGGGGGAGATAGCAGGGCTCCAGATGGAGGAGACGGTGCTGATGGAGGTAGAGGTGCTGCTAAGTGCCGCCGGGCCTGTGTGATTGGTGGAGGATGAGGAAGAGGACGAAGAGCCTGTGCTGGAGACTGCAGGAGGAGTGAACTGGCCGCTGCTTTCTGAGCCGGTGCTCTCCCGGGCCGGGGAAGACTTCTTCTTAGGCGGCCGGGCTTTGGCACTGCTGCCGCTCTGCTGCTGCTGGCGACACTTGGCCCTCCGGTTCTTGAACCACACCTGAAACCAAGAACACCAGCCAGGAGTTAGCAACGGTACACACCGACAACCTGCAGCATTTCATGAGAAGATAAGAGAAATGCTCCCAAGCCATGCTGGGAGTACATTATGGAGGAAAATTGAGGGTTATTAGGCATCAAGGTTCATTTCCCCTCAGACCGGCCAGGGGTCCAATTTCATAGCTGGTAGATGGCTCTGAGATAACAGGCTATTGGGTTTCACCACACAGAAGGGTAAGTCTAGTGCACCGCAAGGCAGGATCACGTAGAGCACTTTGTTTCACACACACACATTCTGAGAATAACTCAAAGTGTAAGGCAGGGCAGCCCTGGTTCCCCCCCAGTGCCTTTCAGGAGCAGTATTTGTTCAGCACAGAGTTGTTTGTGAGGGATAGCTGAAAAATAAGATGACTGGACCATCTGAAATGTTAATATGTACAAATTGGTCTGTTGGTTTTACATCAAGTCATGTTTAGATGAAGTGAGCTAAACCCTGAGCAGAGGTGGGAAGGGTAGATTATATAACAGCTGCCCAGGAGCAAGTTGGTAACTTCAGCAGAAAATAATTAGCAAACCTGCCTGTGTCATTTAAATCCCATTGATCATCTGACCCTCGGTCGATACGTTTATTATCCTTTTTAGAGGTAAATAAGTGAAACTACCAGGCTAAAAACTCTAATTTTCTTAATTGGTTAATGATGAACCTGTTAGATTAGTGTTTTAGTAATGTTAAAAATAATAATAATTAATTTACAGGCCTACAAATAATAAACGACAGAGTCCAGTGATTTATCAGCTAACATCTCTACAGTGTCAACAGTGAAGACGTGATACGAGATAAACCGAGTTAATATGTACCTGTGTGCTCTTCAGTGCAACACTTCCACCTTAACATCCGTGTTTATGAAGCTGAAAATGTTTTGGGTGAAGATGTCAAATGTATCAATTCAATAATACGTTTATTATTGAGGTCATAGTTAAAGGTGGTGTTGTACTGGACCACATTATATTCAGGTGCTCGTTTTGGCCTCCCCAGCTACATGCATGAGAGGGTCAGAATATTAGGAACACCTTTAAACATAATGTAGTCCAGTACAACAGCACCTTTAACTATGATGTCAATAATAAACATATGAATGAATTTATACACTTGACAATTTCACCATAAACAGATGTTAAGGTGGAAATGCTGCACACAGTGGTACAGGTGTACCTAATAAAGTGGCCGTGAGAGTAAAATCCACCTTTTAGATTCTGTAATATTCAGAGCCTACATTCATATCCAAGTCATTTATACAGCTTGTTAATAACACATTGGTGACAAATATCAATCAGTAGCTTTTCTAATCCTCCTTTTGGTTTTTTAACATTTAGTGGCATAAGAACATTGATCTGAATTTATCATTCAGAGCCAACTAACATCAACCGTTAATGTATGAGAAACTAATGCCAACGTCTTTTGAAACAACTTTAGGAATCAGTTCAGTCTTGGTTTGAATTTTTGCAGCTGTTCCAGGACTTTGGCTGAAACTGGGTTAGGAGCCAAAACCGAGC